TCCTGACAAACAACCCAACCTTGAGCATTTGCCACCAACATTACAACTTGTTAACGTCCTTAATAAAACCTTTAATCATAAAATTTGTCAGAGTTCTGTGTAGCCATTGCAATGGATAGTAGAACTTAGAGAGGTAAAATAGAGAACAGTAATTAGGACAACAGAGTTAATTAATGACAATCTGAGAATTTTTAAAGCAAATCTAGAAGGAAGAGTAATGTTATAGACCAAATATTCTTTGCTTTTCTTCTTCTTGTTTTTGCATGCATACATATTTGGAGTTTAATTTTAGTATTTTATTTTATCAAGAAATCACTTTGCTCTGAGAATTAACGTCAGTTGAAGATTGTTACAAATACCATGGAATTTTATAGGCTACACCATTTATAAACTATATACTCTACCACCCATGCATCAGTGTGCAGAACGGTAATGAGTTTCATGTTGCTGTGACAGTGGATCCTTTGCCCCTAGTATTTCAAATACCACCTGGATCACCCATAGTGGAAAAACAAACAAACAGTGAAATCTCTAGACTAAGACATAATGGAGAGAAAGGCCTGGCAATTTTGTTTGTAAAAATTAGCGAATGAAACCTTATGGATCACAAGAGACCTTTGTTCAACTCCCTTTTTCTGGGCATGTCATTAGGAGGAAGCGTTCCCTGAGAGGAGAACATCACTTGTTGTGAGGCAGACGGCCAACAGGGCCCAGGAAACCCTCAGTGAGCTGAGTTGCACAATGGCCTCCATGACAGACGAATGTGAGGATGGTACAGGGCGAGTAGCATTTTGTTTGGTTTTGCATGAGGTTGCCTGGAGTTGAAATTGACTCCATGGTGCTAGCCATGTGTATAATACAGAGCTTCACATGGGAAGAGAGTACGGATGGGAATTTTTATATATTTATAAAATTATTTATATATTTTAGAAAGCCTATTGCCACTGTGTTGATTCCAACTCATAGAGGCTTTAAAAGACAGCTTAGAAACTGTGTCTCAGGGATGCTGAGATGTTACATCCTCACGGGAGCAGACAGCCTATCTTTCTCCCTCAGAGCAGCTGGGATGTTGGAGCTACTGACCTTGAAAATTAGTGGCCCAACGTATAACCCACTACATCAGCCTTGTTCCTTATACTTATGTACACTATTTGATTTTGTATTTATATACACACATACACACACATATATCAGTTGCCACCAAGTTGATTCTGACTCATGGTGACCCCATAGGAAACAGAATAGTGCTTCGTAGGGTGTTCTGAGTTTGATTTTTTTTGGGGGGTGGAAACACCAGGTCTTGTTTTCAAAACATCTCTGGGTGGAACTTCCAACCATTCAGTTAGCAGGTGAGCATGTTAACCATTTGTAACTCCCATTGTCATATATTTTTGGATCCCTGGTTGGATAGCAGTTACCCATGAGGCTGCTAACTCCAAGATCAGTAGTTCGAAGCCACCCACCACTCTGTGGGATAAAGATGAGGCTTTCTATTCCTATGAAGAGTTACTGTCTTGGCAACCCTCTGAGACAGTTCTACCATAACCTGTAGGGTTGACATGAGTTGGAATAGACTGGATGACAGTGAATGTTTGCCATATATATATAATGTATATGTGTGTATATATGTATATGTGTGTATACCAATAACCAATTGTACTGAAGAAAGTATAAGCTGCACTGGAGGCATTAGGCAAAAAAAACAATGCTCTAGGGATCTACAGAATACAACAAAATATTTCAATGTATTGATGAAACATGGGAAGCACACATTCACCTAGGCCAAGAAATTTGGAAGACAGTTACCTGGCCAACTGATCGGAAGAAATCCATATTTGTACTCAATCCAAAGAAAAGTGACCCAACAGAATGTGGAACTTGCAGAACAATACAATTGATATGACTTGCAAGTAAAACTTCACAGATCACTCAACAATGGTTGCAGCAGCACATAACAAGAACTTTCAGAAATTCAAGCTGGATTCAGGAGAAGACATGGAACAAAAGGATAGCATTGCTGCTGTCAGATGGATCTTGGCTGAAAGCAGAGACTGCCAGAAAGATGTTTACCTGTGTTTTACTGAATATGCAGAGGCATTATTAGACTGTGTGGGCTATCACTAACTCTAGATAGCACTGAGAAGACTGGGAATTCCAGAGCACTTCCTTGTGCTCTTGTAGAAACTGCACACGGACCAAGAAGCAATCAGGCAGAACAAGGGACTACTGAAAGGTTCAAATCGAGGAAAGATGTGCTTCTTGGTTGTTTCCCCTTCACCATACTTACTCAGTCTATGTGCTGAGCACATAATCTAAGAAACTAGGCTCTATGTTGAAAGGAAGCAGAAACGGGATTGGAGGAAGGCTTATTGACAACCTGGGGTGTGCAGATGAGATAACCTTGTTTGCTGAAAGTGAGGAGGACTTGAAGCACTTGCTTGCTGATGAAGATCAAGACTTCCAGTCTTTACTACGGATTACAATTTAATACAAAGAAAACCATCATTCTTACAACTGCACTAATGTGTAACATCATGATAAATGGAAAGAAGATTGAAGTTGTCGAGCATTTTGTCTTGCTTGGATCCACAATGAAGGTTCATGGAAGTAGCAGTTAAGAAATCAAATGATGCATTTCATTGCACAAGTTTGCTGTACAAGATCTTATGAAAGTGTTGAAGAGCAAGGATGTCACTTTGAGGACTGAGGTGCATCAGACCTAAACCTTGATATTCCGAATCCCCTCCTCTGCATGTGAAAGTTGGACACTGAATTTGGAAGACTGAAGAAGAACTGATGCACATGAATTCTGGTGCTGATGAAGAATATTGCAAGGGCTATGGACCGCCAAAAGAACAAATACATTGATATTGGAAGAGGGATCGCAGAAAGCTCTTTAGAAGTGAGTATGGTGAGACTTCATCTCACGTACTTTGGACATGTTATCAAGAGAGACCATTCCTGGCACGAACATCGGGCTTGGTAGCAGGGCAGTGAAAAAGAGGAAGACGCTCAAAGAGATGGACTAACACGGTGGGTGCAACAATGTGCTGACATTTGATGACAATTGGGAGGATAGTGCAGACCAGGCAGTGTTGTGTTCACTTGTTCATAGGGTTGCTGAGTCAGAACTGACTCGATGGCACCAAACAACATACGGGTGTGCACTTCTATGGATAAGTGTGTGTAACTCAAACTCACTGCCATTGAGTAGATTCTGACTCACAGTTGCCCTATAGGACTGAGTATAACTGGCCCTTTGAGCCTCAGAGGAATGGCTGGTGGTTTTCTCCAAACTGTGACCTGTGCAACCCACTATGCTACCAGGGCTCCTTATACACTTATATCCTTCATACTCCTTATGTGCTTGTGTGTGTGTGTGTGTGTGTGTGTGTGTCCACAAATAATAGATATACACACATATGCTGTTCGTATAAGTACATGTTGATATATGTATATATACATATAGTATATGTATATATATACATATAACATGTACATATATGCTTTTTAAAAATGTATAAATATAACATGTTTCTCATTAGAAATCATGACTCAAGTTCAAAAGAGCAATCCACTATTCTGTGTGGATACGGGGTGGCCTACAATAAAATCTGCACATTTTGATATGAGAACATTTACTTCTGTGGAAGCAGAGGGTCAACTTCAAGCTTGGCTAAGTTTCTTTAAGATTCTGGAGCTAATTTTGAACGGATTTGTGTTCAAGTGGTCATGCATACCTTACAATAATACAATTGCTGGCCATAATTACTGGAAATGTGGCCATAAAACCATTGAGTTGAGTGACCAGTCTGAAAATATTTCTAACTCGAAAATCTGTGCAGAAACTAAAAAAGTAAAAGACAACCTACACACATTTCAACCTCTTGTGCTAGCAGAGAGCAGGAATAAGCACTGAAGATTGTTACTGACGATACTCTACATCACAGCGGCAAACCTCTTTATTTTGTAAGCCTCTGTAGATCCCATGGGTATTTTGAAATTTGAATTTCTCAACAGTTCATTTATGGCATGTACATTCTTTAGCTGGAGGCTTATCCTTGATTTTTTTTAGCATGAGTTAATTTTTACAAAGAGACACTTCCTACCATAGCTATCACAGTTAGTCTCTTCATCTAACATTTGCTGGTACAAACTTTTCACATAGTCTCAAAAGCATAAGGGCATTAATACACATAAACACCCCCAGCCCCTATTTTAGAAACTTAAGTTCTCTTTATAAATAATTTCATTTAAAAGATTCCTCTGAAGTGACTGGATGTTGATTTACTATACTGATATAATATACTACAAATTGAGTTTGATTTAAATTTAAATTAGCCCCAATATTAGTGCATAATATCTTTCCGTTTTTGCTAAGTGAGAGCAATGTTAATCTAAGTATTTCAAAAGAATCGGATATATCAGAAATTAAAATGCTCATTTAATAATATTTGGCCTTTCAAACAACGTGATTGTCCGTTGTTACTGCATCTAAAACATCTCTTTCACTTGCTCGACGCAGCTATTGCTGAGCCCTCTGTTCTCAACGTCCTCACTTTGTGGGAAGACTATTTAGAAAGCAAATTTCCCATAAATTCTGTTTTAGTGTTTGTGCAATTACTCAGATTTACTTGCCGCAAGACAAGCCTAGTGAAAAGTTACATCCATTTTTGAAAAAAGTCTTTATAGGCCTGTTCAAAACTTAGAATCTAGCATATAGTTTTGGGTACGTGACCGAGCTCCGAATAGCATTCAGTACCGTTTTGATTGTATTACTGAAATAACATTGTAAATCTTTTTCCACCCATGTCTTAAATTCTTTAGTCTTTCTGGCCCTGCCCAGGACGTATCGCTAAGCTTGTCAGTCTTGTGAGAAATAACAGACTCACTTTGGAAAAATTAACACTTAGGAACTTTAAATCACCAGAGATCACGCGTCCGTGAAGTTTCTATGGGCTTCTAGGCGAACAGAACAAATCTCAGAAACGAGTTCTTACCTCTGGAAGGACGCAAGACAATGCACATCACCAATAACGCAAGAAGAGCCGAGGCGGCCACTCCAAATACAATTTTTAACCATGTCTACACACAAAATGAAGAAAGTTAGGCACAGACACAGCTTCTGCCAAATTGTAAAAAATGGCAAGAGTCTGTTTACACATAAATCCTACTTCTCCCTCCCCACAAAGCTCTTGATTGTATTCCACTGATCTGGCTATAATTGCTGGAAAACTCCCAACTCTGCGAGGACAAATGTTTCTACAGTATATTTAGAACAATTTCCCACCCTTCGTCCGTTCCAGGAAGTAAATACTTCTGTACAAACCCTCCCCTCCTAAACAATAGAAAACTGAGCTTTCATTCAACCCCGTCAGCCTGCTTTCTTTAGCAATCCCTAAGGCTGCGTACGCTGACCTTCATTTTCCAGAGTTTTCGAACGTTCACCAATTCTGACTCCGGAGCGTGGGTCGCTGCATCGGAGGAAGACGTCGAGAGGAAGCGAAACCGTCTCCGTGGTTGAAGCCCGAGCCAGGACAAGAGCTCTTTTTCCCACGTACTTTGGAATACCGTGCCAAATTTCAAACGATTTCTGTCAAATTAGAAACAGATTTTGGGGGCGTTCTTGGACTTGAAGTGAACTGTGAGTGGCTCCAGGGAGGTTTTATGGCCTGCCCGTCCTTGTAAATTCGACACCAGCATCTGCTTACGTTGACAGACAGCGGTTTTAAGCTCTCCTTTTCTGTTTTTTCCATACAGGTTCCGTTTTATGTGTCATTTTCTACTAGATCCCCTTCGCAGACTGCTTTGGTAAATCATTAAGGGTTTCTCTGACCCCTTCTATTTGCAACCAACAGAGGAACTTAGAATAATACAGTTTCCAGGGTGTGTGCCTTATACACACAACTGCTTTTGAGCAGCAGAAGAAAACTTAAAATCGCATAGTGTTTTGTGAAAATCCATGTAACGGTACTGTTTTTATTCCCCAGACAGATTAGAAGGCACTGCAGACAGAAATCGTTTTCTTTCAGCACATCTTTGTCTATAATAGCACGATATGCACTTTCCGTAAATACAGAAGTTTCAAGACTCAACTGTCTACACCCACGGCTGCTCTACTTTGAAGAAATAAAACGCTGTCTGGTTAAATTGAGTGTGGGTTAGGTGTGTATGCACAGACCAGGAAAATGGAAAGACGAGTAAGAATAATTCACCAATAGACATGGTCTTGCCTAAGTGAGACTCGCTTTTCTCTCAGAATATATTCTGAAAGAGGGGGTTTGTCAGTAGCTGTCAATAAAGTCTTTGGAATACACTTGTTAAACATATTTGAAGACAAAAGTAAGCCTTATGTACAATTTGACTTTGATCAATCTACAGAATTTCAAAGTGAGTTGAATTGAAGGATTCAGTAATAATACAGGCTTGACTGGAAACCAGAAACGGCAAACAAACAGTAGAGCATGCTGGTTGAATTATACACAACTGTTTACCTGGTTAGCCTCTCAGACTGCCCACAGATATCACTGTTAGCCTGCTGGGTCTTTAGGATTTTGACTACTCGGGCTCTTCATCTGATTAAAGCAGACCCCATGGTGGCTTTCAGGGATTGTTCAGGAAACATTACTGAAATCTGTTGTTTGTTTTAGTGGCTACCATGAGAGGCCGACTCTGGCAATGAGCAGGACAGTGGTTTGCGAACTTCCTCTCAGACTTTCTTCAGACACCCCTCCCTACATTCCAGCCTTATGAAAATTCTGTTGAGGAAAATGAGTCATTAAGCACTTATTGGCAGAGAAATCTTACCAGCCCAGCTTCTGGAAGAGCCCTCTTCTTCGCAGTTTATAGGGCAGCCCTTTGTAAACTGAGGCAATCATGAAAAGCACCATCCAAGTGATGCTATCCATACATTCACAGGCACCTTTGTACGACTGGGACGCCCTCTAGGTCCAAGGCAGGTGCCCTCACCAAGTCCTCCGAGGAATGCTCCCGCCTGGATTCCCTCTGACTCACGCTCTCCTGGGACCGTTCACACAGAGTGCTCGCACAAGGTCTAGTCCAGCCTGCCAAAGGCCCCAAATGTCCTCGTGGACTTTTTAGTGGGCGAATCCCAAGACTTTATGTTCTGCAGAGAAACTAACTGTGAGAACTGATGAGGGTGTAATTGAAGTGAATATTATTAGCTTTAGCAATAAAAACGCACCGGCATATGACCGGTCTGAGTACCTGTTAGGATTCTATAGCCGAGTGTGGGAGTCACAAGGGACCTGTTTGACAGGCCTCATGGATAAAGCAGGGGACTTTAAGAGAACGATTTTAAGGTGTAACTGTTTAAAAAGGGAGAGAAACTATGATGGAGAAACATGTTTATTTGGCCTTGTTTGTTTTGTATGTGGAAAGTTAAATGCCTCTAACTGAAACCTCAGGAAAACTTTCACTGATGTGAGCTATTTTAAGGAACACAGAACAACAACGCAAATGACCAAAGGAGTCAAGAGTTTCTCCATCTGATCTCATGGCTTAAGGATATATTATTCCAAAGAGAATATCTATTTCCAGCTCTTTGAAATCATGTGTACATTTTCTACTTTCACCCAAAAATGTCTACAAAAAATTTGGACAGTTTACAATAACTTATCTTACACTCCTTTTGGATTCAAGTTTTTAAACCTTAAGGCAATGGACTAGTATTGTGATTTCATACAACTACCTAACATCTTTGTTGGGAAGACAAAAATCAATGAGACATAATGAAGAATGATCATAAAAATAAATTATATATTTGCTTACATTCAATTTCTGGTGCTCTTGCTGAGACTGATCCTGTTTTCAGGAGGAACAAGAGTTCTGATTAGGGAGTAATGTCTGCACGGCTTAGAAGGAGGGTTGGTGGCTCTGTCAGTGAGCATTGTACTTCTCTAGCTGTAAGATCAGCCGTTCCAACCTACCAGCTGCTCAATGGAAGAAAGTTGAGACTCTCTCCCCGCCTGAAAATGTACACTCTCGAAACCATCTACAGCAGTGCTAATGAGGAGACTTTCCTAATGCCAAGAACCTTTCCATCCCCCATGTTGTGGTGACCCCCCAACCATAAAATTATGTTCCTTGCTACTTCATAACTGTCATTTTGCTACTGTTATGTCGGGCAACACCTGTGGAAGGGTCATTCGACCCCCAAAGGGGTTGTGACCCACAGGTGGAGAAGCGCTGCTCGCTGAGTCCTGGTGCATTCAGTGGCACAGGGTTTTGGTTTTTAGGAAGAGGGACTGAAAGTTCCCAGTGCCACTTATTTGCAGTCTTCAATGGAAATCTCAACTTGTCAGGGCTGGGACTTCCATCAGAAAACGACTCTGGGTCTTTTTGAAAGCTTCAACAATGGCAAGGAGAACCTTTACCTGTCAACAGTGAACGGCAAGAATTAGGGAAGAAGAATGCTTTCCATAGGTGGACCCTGTAAGCCTTTATTTGGAACATGACTACTTTCTAGCAGGTCCAATGGGTAAGTGAGCTATACCCTCAATCTCTCCATAGTTATTGGAACAATTTAGCAAGAGCCACGGGAGCCCTGGTGGTGCATGTAGCCAGTGTAGGGGGTGAAGAGCTGGGTCTGTAACCATGGTTTGAGGCTGTGTGCTCCAAAACCTGATACAGCAGTTCTACTCTGGCCTTCAGGGTTGCTATGGGTCAGATGCAACTTGACACCAGTGTGTGGTAGTAGATCTATGTCTGTCGAAAACAATTTGGATTTTTTTTGTAGATAGAAAAAATGAAACAAAGCAAACCTGTGATGTCATTCCATAATAAGGATGCTGTCCTTTTTGAAGTTAGGAAGACACAACAAAAGGAATGCAGTCATCACCAAAAGCTGATTATTAAAAAACAGCATTATAAGTAAGGAGTATGAGGGCAGAGGTAAAGTTAACAGAAGCTTTGAGTCTACAGTCTTTACAATAACAGTTTGCTCCAAAGAAGGCCATGCCTCGCCACAATGAGTCTTCCAACGCAGTAAGCGGTTCTTGTTCACGACCACATGCCAAAGGCACTCATACATTATCCCATGTAAACCCTAAAAGAACCTCGCTTTACTGATGAGGAAACAAAAACTTAGAACTGTTAGGTAACTTGCCCCCAATTGTAATTCTATGTTGATATATTACACTATTTCTTTGTGCTATTTCTCAAAACTGATCCCCAACGTAATACGTACATTAAGAAATTTTGTACTTGGCATCTCATGAATATTTCTAATAAAAGACATGATTCTACCATGGTGCAATGTTAGAACCCTTATAGCTAAAACATATATCATCCTCACAATATGAGTCACACATATCTCAAAAACATAACAATTCATCCTACTAAGACTGTATCTGAGGTCATAATTTCAGTAAGTTTTGTTAGAATTGGAGTCTAGTAATCAGAATAGTAGCTATATAGTACCTTGGGCTAAAATGTCTTTCTCTGAGGCCTTGTGTAACTTTAAAGCAGTGGTTCTCAGCCTTCTGAATGCTGTGACCCTTTCATACAGTTCCTCATGTTGTGGTGACCCCCCAACCATAAAATTATTTTCGTTGCTACTTCATCACTGTCATTTTGCTACTGTTATGAATTGGGTGACCCCTGTGAAAAGGTCATTGAACCCCCAAAGGTTGAGAACCGCTGCTTTAAAGGAATCAAAGAGATTCTTGAGATCCAAGCCAGCAAGAGTACTGAGGCCTTCTCTAAAGCTCGTAGTTACCAGCACAAAGTTATAGGTTTGGGGGAAATTATTTATCATAGCATCTAGGAGAAATGACAGAGTTAAAGCAATTTTTCTTAATCTGATATAATTCCTAAAACCACAACTGTCACAAGAGGGTGTATGTAGGGACATGTATACCAAATTGTAATTGGCATTTACAAACTTAACAAATGTCATAATTAGATGGCGGTGGTTTATTATCCTATCACAATTAGGACAAGTTCTCCTTGGCGGCCCAATGAGTTATCCATCATAATTGGATCTAAAAGGGAAAATGAGGGAAACAACCCATTTCTTTGGTTTAGACTCAAACATTCAGAAAATAAATCAGTAATTCCATATGGTTCAAAATGAAAATATGAAATAGCTTTCAAAGTAGTCAATAATAGGAAAACTGATTGAACAGCATTAATTCAAATGTACAACCAGCTTATAGCCTTTTACATTACTCATGAAGTGCTATTTCTCCAGTACGTGTAGATTGGAAAATACTATTAGTACTAGCTAATGTTTGTACATCCTGGGAGGTACAAAATATTAACACCCTCAGTTGGTAACAAAAGATTAGAGACTAAAGTTCACCAAGATGCACTTTGGAAGAAAGGCCTGGTAGTCTACTTCTGAAAAATCAGCAACTGAAAACTTGACAGAACACAATTCTACTTTGACAGAAGGAGTCTTCAGTGGGAATCAACTTAGAGGAGCTGGTCTAGGTTGATGCTCTAGTCTGTTCTGACTCATAGCCACCCTTGCACAGCAGAATGAAACACTATTCCATCCTGAGCCATCCTCTCAGTTATGTTTGAGCCTATTGTTGCAACCATTGCATGAAAGCAGCTCATACTTTAGGCCTTTCTCTTTTTCACGGACTCCTAACTTTACCAAGCAAGTTCTCCTCTTCTGGTCTGTCCTGATAACATGTTCA